GTTGCAGCGTTGTTACCAGTGAAATTCATTATCCACAGCTCTGTAATGGCGCTACACTTTTAAAAATACGTCTGTTGGTTCAGCGACTTGTTTGTTGGTGGAGTGAGATCTGAGTGGTCATGTAGAATTTAAAATGCTTAACGTGCGTCTTACAGAGCTAATGGTTGTGTTAGATGCTGTCTTCAGGATTGCGTTGCTGTTCACCTACAAGGTACTGGGTTGTGCCTTTCATTTCATCGCTGTGCAAAGTATTCAGGCAGGTCAGATGTTTAGATTCCTCCTGATCGCACAACAGAGAGGTGTCCGATAGGTCCCACATTTGTTCAGTGTCATGAGAGTGAATCACAAGAGTTAAGGCGGAACATGCAACAAATAGTGTCGAGTCCTGAACTCATTGAATCCGTCGGGTAGTACGCAAAGAGACCGAAGCAATGATAATAGCCTAAAACCTGGAAGGGGCTGTTTTAAAGGTTGGAGTTGGTAAAATCTTTTCTGTTGCTTTCATTTAGTTTTTCGTTGTGGTTTATTAAATGTAAACCTGGAAATAGAAATGAAAAGAACCAAGTTTTTTGTTTCATGTTTATGTCATTTTTAAAGCATCTTCACCCTTAGTGCCGTACAAATTAAATTATTTTAGCGTTGATTAATTCTCCTGTCAGCCTGTTTTTTTCTTATCAATTCCATTTTTGCCAGAATTCAAAGGTCACAAGATTATGAGAACACTGCATGTCCTGTGTGCTGGTTTTGATTTTAAATTGGTACCATGTGGCGTAGAAGAACATAGTCCGTGGACTTTTCACTAGCTTCGCGCTGTAAGACCATTTTATCACCAGCCCATTAGTCAATGCGACGGTGGCGTCTTGTCAGCTGTTCTCCGTGATGGAACGGTTTGACTTTGTCCTCATCAGTCGCTTGTGATTGATGTATTTTGCCACTTGTGAGATTATTGTTTGTTGATGCTGAGGCAATGCCTTTGCACTGGTTTGGAGACAACTGTGTTCAATTAACAGTATAGAAATTTTTGAGGCAGTCGAGAAAATGTATTTCGGACTGTGTGTTTCTGATGGAGCTAGCGTGTTAGCTTTGACCACAGTGTGACTGCCAGTGTTGATGGGGTGCCTTCAATTGGCAATTAGCCAGTTAGTTAAATTCTTACTGGCTCTTAGTGTAATCTCCCAAAGACCTGGAAATAAAGCTTAAAGAACCAAGTGACCAAAGATTTTTTCATGCTAACGTGTAGGAAACTAGCTGGCCTGGAACGAACGCAGGGCTGGAACGGTAGCTAAATATTGATGTTAGACACAGACAGTCATTGTTAACCTGTATTTGCTGATGGACCGGGCTGTGATAAACTGTTGTGTCTAACTTTGTTTAACGTGTCCTCTTCAGTCATCTGGGTAATGTTATCCTCTTTAGTGCTCCCCATTAAGACTCTCCTGTTTATCCAGCCGGGAAAACAGTTATTCATGAAAGCAACGCCGGGCCAATTTGCGTTGCTCGGCAAAATTTGATATGTTGGCGGCAACGCAAAGGTCTGGAAGTTCTGCGAGAACGTCTTGGTGTGTTTTAAATCTCATCATCGAAATGTAAAGTCTTGATGATGATTTTTTTCAAACAAACTGTAATCAAATCGGAATCTACAAATCAACATCCCAGGCTGGTGTATCTGTAGTCGTAGTGAACCTGCTGGTGAGTCCTGGTGAACTGCAGAATATTCATGTGTGTGTATGGACAGCGCTGAAAGCTGTGCGTTAACCTTGCTTCCAGGATAGCAGTGGCTGTTTTGTGTGAGTTTGCCTGCTCTCAGAGCAGCATTTGGGCTCTCTGCAGCATTATGTAATCCCCAACCTTCCACTTCCCTCTTCGTAGCCAGTGGTTTTTGGCAGACGTACGTCTTAGCATCAGGGGGTGTTGGTTTCGACCTGCGGTTAAAGCACGGGTGACAGCAGTTTTGAGGAGGTTAAGAGGTTGAGAGTTCCTGGTTTCAGTCTTGGTGTCTCAATGGGGATATTTTCTGGGCTTTTCTTTTTCTGTGTGCGCTGTTTTTTGTTTTTTTTTTTTGTACTTGCCAGCAGTCTGTTGTACCATTGTCAGCCAGAGAAATCTCATAGTATCTGCGTGTGTTCTTGCAGTCTGCATGTCTCCTTTCAGGGTCTGGCTGCTGCAACTGCTTTAATGGATGGATGATGCAACTCCCCCCTTCCTCTCGCTACCGAGCGGCTGAGTGTGTGTGTGTGTGTGTGAGTGTGTGTGTGTCTTTTAGAGCGAGTGAGAGAAAGACATAGAGAGGGGGATGTCGCTGAATGAAGCTTAGCCTGGATGTTTGCACTGCAGGGTGGGTGGTTGCTAGGCGATGGCAGTGTGTTTGTTTTATTTTTAGAGAGAATCACTGCTGGTGAACATAGCAGATTTGCCTTTCTCTCATACACATATGTGAACACTCTTTCCTAACATACATGAACATATAGGGTACAGCCGAGCGGTTAAAAAAAGGTTGCTGGAGGAGGGGAGGGAGGGGGGAGAAATCTTGTTGATATAATCGCGTAGACGGAAAGCAGCAGAAATATGAATGGCGTGGCCCACAGCCTCACCCTGGTCATGAAATCTAAACCGGCCCAGCGTATTTATAGAGCATCTTTTCCTCGCACATAGACTATGACACTGCACACATGCGCAGAGCAGACACACAAACACACACACACACATACGTACGCATTCGTCCTGAACCAGCTGTAGTCACTCCTCGCATGTACGCCGGCCTTTTTTGGGCACATGCCTGTCATGCCGTGTGTGCGCTCACGTGGGAAGTAATGCACGGCGAGAAATCAATATGTTGTCAGGGCACTTTCGATTCCTATCGCCTCTCATTGATTTCAAGATCTCATGAGTGCTACAGCGCCGGGCCAAGCAGCGCGTACTGGAAGCAGCTCCATACAGTAGTAGCTGCTGACATTTAGGTCAGCATCGATCGGCGTGATGGGAAAACATGGGGCAGGTCAGAAATGCCAGAGATACGCCGAAAGGTGGTGGCCAGCTGGAAACTCACCAAAGACTGATTTTTTTTAAACAATGAAACCTCACTCTGATAGTTTTAGCTTATAGTATAGTTTGATGGAATAATTTTAGATTTTCTTTCTTTTTTTTTTTCTGATGCTGAATCACCACCTTTCAGTTTATTGATCATGAAAATTTCCATATCAGTTCAAAAGCATTTTCCTCATGCCGTATTGGGAGCTGTATGTATTTTCTGTCTTGTACTGTGATATACATTATATTCCTCATAATGATAGACTCCCAGTAAAGGGAATAAAGCTTTAGATTTTGACTGAGACCACAGTGAAGGGTTGTCCAGTAAAAAAACAAACTTGGCTCAGCAGGAGCACATTTCTAGCTGATTTTTTGTGTGACATAAATGCCATATTTCACCCAAAATTGTCACAACAAAAGATATAATCAGCAGTAAAAACCCTCCTGATAGTATACAAAAAGCTGCTGCAGAGGGTTTCGGGGTCTGATGAGTCTTCAACCTCGTCGATACGTTACTTAAACTGGACTTCATGGCTTGTGTTGTGTTATTGTGAATCAGCGTGTCCCAACACAACCCTGTGAATTCTTTAAAACGCCAAAGATGCTCCCTGCCTGCATCAGCATCAATAATTAAACCTCTAATTGTGATTAACCCAGCGGTCAGAGATGGCTAAGAATGGACAAAGGTTACGAGAGGCAAAGAGCGAAAAGTGCTCAGTCAGGTTTCGTTCCCTTTCAGGCCTTGGCGGGGCAGGATTTCAGACCCTGCTGATTCACTAATGTCACACTCTATTTCCTGTCAACAAGTTAACTAATAGTATTACTTACCTTGTGTTCAGAGTGAAAGAGGCTCTGTGTGCTCAAAGAAGCTTTACAGCTACTGTGTAATCCTCGCCTCTGTCGTTTCTCCTCTGCTATCTTTGTCTTGTTGGGATCACTGGTTCTCACCATCCATTGACTAATTAAAAGCACTCTGTATTCACAGCACGGAGCAGCGTACTGAATTACTGACATAGAAAAGGCTGATTAACAGTGAAATTTATTATCTAATGTTATGTGAAGGAGTCGTTGGCATGTACGTGAACTGAGCTGAAAAATGAGTCATGATAGGCAGCGACAGCATATCATAAGATGTGAAAACGTTCATTTAATGTTCATTTCAGCTTGTGTGAGTCACAAAAATGTACAAAATCAAGATAAAAACAGTCTTACTTTACTGCTCACCTGCTTCCTTCTTAACGTTTATGTGCAGACACAGTAAAAAAAATGTGAATCAGAACCTCACTGCACAAAATACGGGTGACAAATTAAAGGAAAAGCAACCATAATGTGTCTTAGTTTGGTGATAGGACACCAGAACAGCTTCAGTGCACATTAATGGATTTTACAAGTCTCTGGAACACGATCCGTGCGACAGATAATTTCTCATTTGGCGTTTAAATGAAGGCGGTGGAGAGCGCTGCGTGTCGGTCATCAAACCATTCAGTGACCCCTCGTGCCCACTGGATGACACCAGCACTGCCGTCAGGGTACAAATGTTTCATCACAGGACAAAAGTGATCACTCAGAACAACTCTGTATTGATTTGCAGTGGCCCTTCCCTCTAAGGGACCCAAATCATGACCCCGAAATGCCCCCAACAGCGCAACTGAGCCACCAGATCCCCTCGTTATAGGGGTCAAGGGTTCAGGTTTTTTCTTCAATCTGTCACCCGTCTGTATTTTCCTAATATATCCTGACCACTAGATGATTCTTGATATTTGGAAGTTTAAAAATCTGATGATAGAGCTACACATTTACTACATAAACACAGTTTGCAGTTGAACAAATTGACAGTCCTCTGTGGTGATATGTCAGCCTGACCTATCTATCAGTCTAAAGAGGTGTCTGGCTTATTGAGGCACACATTGCTTTCTTTGCAGGTGATCGTGTAACGTTTAATTAATGTGTTTTTTTTTCTTGTCTTCCTCCAGCTATAGGCAGCAATGGGTGCATTCCTGGACAAGCCGAAGACGGAGAAACATAGTGCCCACGGTGAGGGCAATGGGCTGCGCTATGGCCTGAGCTCCATGCAGGGCTGGCGAGTGGAAATGGAGGACGCCCACACGGCTGTGGTGGGCCTCCCCCATGGACTCACCGACTGGTCCTTCTTTGCTGTCTACGATGGCCACGCAGGCTCCCGGGTGGCCAACTACTGTTCCGGCCACCTGCTGGAGCACATCTTGTCGGGAGGCGCCGACTTCGGTTCAGGACCCGGCTCCGTGGAGGGCGTGAAGGACGGCATCCGCTCGGGCTTCCTGAACATTGACGAGTACATGCGCAGCTTCTCTGACCTGCGGCAGGGCCTGGACCGCAGCGGATCGACGGCCGTGTGCGTGTTGCTCAGCCCGACCCACCTCTACTTCATTAACTGCGGCGACTCGCGGGCCGTGCTGAGTCGAGACAGCAAGGTGGGCTTCTCCACCCAGGACCACAAGCCCTGCAACCCCCGCGAAAAGGAGCGCATCCAGAATGCTGGCGGCTCGGTCATGATCCAGAGGGTAAACGGCTCCCTGGCTGTGTCCCGGGCCCTGGGGGACTACGACTACAAATGTGTGGACGGTAAAGGTCCCACGGAGCAGCTAGTGAGCCCTGAGCCCGAGGTGTGCGTGTTGGAGCGGGCGGCCGAAGGAGACGAGTTTGTGGTGCTGGCGTGCGACGGAATCTGGGACGTCATGTCCAACGAGGAGCTGTGTGAGTTTGTTCGCTCTCGACTGCTGGTGTGTGATGACCTGGAGAAGGTCTGTAACTCAGTGGTGGACACCTGTCTGCACAAGGTAAGCTTTTATTCCTCCCACGCTTGAGGTGCTCTAAAGGGGAAAGTGTGGTTCTAGATAGTTGCTTTCCAGCTGGTCTCCAGCTATAGAACATGGCTCAGAGTTTAATTTGCAGATAAGGTAAAATTTTCAAATGCAAAACTTAATGCAAACTTTAGTGTCTTATAGCACAGAACTATCAGGCAAAAGAGTAAAGATATATATGTGAATGTGTAAAATATCAACTGATTTACTTTCACGTTTTGTGTGTTTTGGTAAATATGAAAAAACTCAAACCAAATATGAAACACTTAAAGTTGTGCTAATCAAATGCATTTCACTACAGATCTGCCTTTTTGTGTTAGAATTAAATTGTCACATTTTCAAAAACAAAAGTATTTTACTTACTAACCCTCTGAATCTTTAAATAGTCGCCACCAGTGATGCGTCAGTGAAATCACTTTATTTTACGTGACTCACTTCAAAGGTCACCACAAATACTGTTTACGTCGACTGAATCCTGTACAAAACAGAAACTTCTGCACTCGTCTGTGCAACCATAAAAGCCTTAGTGAGTCATCTGTAACCAACAGCCATGTGACAAATAATCAGCGTCTTTTATCTGCACTCGGCTGAACTGCAGGATGTGTTTACGCAGAGCAGTTAGGAAACAAATGTGAGATCTAGTTAAAAATGCACGTAGTAAAATATTAATATGTGGTGTCACCATTTTTTGTAGTATTGGTAACACCTGTGGACACATTGAAGTGCGGTACATGTTGATTTAATTTTTAAAAAAAGTAAAAGAAATTCAACTTTCATTTTTTTTAACTGCACAGAAAAAAAATCTGAGTTTTCCATGTGGTTGCAGGACTTTTTATTGCAGTTCAAAATGCGCCCACGTTGAGTAGAAATGTGTTAGCAGCAAAGAAAACACACCCAGAACCTAAAATTATGCAATTATACTAAAGTAATCGATTAATAACTGCATCACAATGTAACAAAAATAATCTAAATCCTAAATGTATTCATGTATTTTTAATGACATCTATAAAACAATATATAATAAAACTTTACAACTCTCTGTGAGATCAGATAATTAATGCATTAGCGCTTTGAATTCACTTCCTGTCTGTTTGCCTCGTCAGCTATCGATTCCAGATAAAGCAGGAACGGCTCTTTGCCTGAGCAGAACCCATTGACCGGTCCACATGTTAAACTTTTGTCCTCCATGTGTGACTTATTTTGTGTCTTGGGTACTCCAAGAACCGGCGAGTGCACAGCAGTAGCAGCAGCCTAGTTATTTTTACCGTCCTGGATGGGTTATCTCAAGTAACAGCCGCACGCCGTCATAAATCTCCTGTGCTGCCGCTGCCTTTTGTGATGTATGTGACACTGTATACTTACAGAAAGGTAGTGTGACCACGCTGACTTTTACAAGGTGACTGTCGATTTAGTTCAGGCCGGGGCTCCGTCTCTACTGTAACCGTCCTGTAAATGCCAATTAATCTGCTGTCCTGCTCGTGCTGAGCATCTGATACGCACAATGCAAATGGAATAAAAGTGTTAGAGGTTCATAATGAGATATTTAACAGTTAAAGCAGAAACTTAAACGGTTTGCCGATTCTAGATCATCCATAAGAAGGTCTTTGATTGTTAGTTAAACGAGACATTGAACGAAATCTCAAGAAGCTTGTGCTGTGAAGTGACTGTCATTGATTTGTGAGGTGTAAAAGACTGACCGATAAGTCCGTTAAACCAAACAGTCATGCTCAGATGAATGTTACAGTTTGATTAAAGATTAAAAATGACCTTGTGCAGGTAAATGATTAGTTGAAATTATTCACCAGCTCGTTGATCTAAAAGGTGAAAGCGGTGACATAATAATAAGAAAATAATTAATAATGTTATTATTATTTTTTCTGTGTTGAAGAAAACCACACATGAGATGTTGAACTCTGAGAACGTGCCGAGCGGTTCGCTTACCTGTTTACTTTTCAGTAACAACACAAGAAAAAGCTGCGTTTACCTCAAATAAGTTCTATATATTTACATCAGGTGCTAATCACCAGAACTCCTTCTGTGCATTCTTGAGGTCCGACACACTCGTCCGATGCTCATCCTTCGTGTGTTTGTTGTTTTTTAAGAACATTTCTGATCTGCATTGTTTACATTCATGTCTGCTGGCTTGCACTCTTCTTCTCTGCCGTCTTTGCTGGCACACTGCTGCGTATCTCAGCGTGTTACTGCCACCTGTAGGTCACCGGATTAATGTGAAGCCATTGACAGTTTGACAGACAGAACAGAGACACCCAATAAAAAAAAAACTGCTCTTAGGTGCTGCTTGAGGACTGCTCATTGTGTGTGTTTGAAGCTTGAGCACGGTTGATGTGCTTCCTGTAGAAAAGATTTGACCTACTGAAAACATCAATTAAAGCATAATAACTGTCTGTTTCCACCATCTGTGGTTCTCAACACCAGAAAGCTTCGATTGTGAAAAGCAGCCGATTTGTTGAAATATAAACTGCAAACTGTCTGTTTTAATACTTTTCCAGCATTAAGTTTACCCTCTGATATCTGTGATCAGGCTTATTTTTTCCCTTTTTTTTTTTGGAAAGTAGCAGAAAAACGCTGTCGCTCAGGGTCAGTGAACCAAAACACTGTTAATGTCATGTGGGGTTTTTTTTTTTGTCACAAATAAAAGATTTTTGTGCCCAGTTTGAAAACATATCTCACATAGATTTAGTTTAACTCTTGTCTGTTGTCGTTCTGCAGGGGAGCAGGGACAATATGAGCGTGGTGCTGGTGTGTTTACCCGGAGCTCCCAAGATCTCCGAGGAGGCTGTGAAGAAGGAAGAGGAATTGGATAAATACCTGGAAGCCCGTGTTGAGGGTCAGCGCTCTGAACATGCACACCTTCACAATTAACCAGAAAAGACTATTAATTTATGATAGTATTCAACAGGTCGGTCTTGATAGTTGAGATTTATAAGCTTCATTGTTTATGTGGAGCAAAGTACTTCTGCCGCCATCTTCCATATTTAAAGTAGTAGCTGTGATTGAAACTTTGGGGGAATTAAACTGTTCAGTCTTTGGTAACACTGTTCTTTCAGTGCCATTCTCAAAAACTGTTTTTTCAAAAGGTTATGTGAAACAAGCAGCCACATACCGTGCTCCAATTCTGTGTACATAACCAGGACAAAATAAACATTCTTTAGGTCGTACAAATATTTGAAATCAGTCTGCTGCAGACTGGTGCCGTTAAAAGACAAGCTGATTTTTTTCCACTGATATGGAGGATTTCTCAGCCTCTCCACAGGAAGGTGGCGGTTAAACCCCCAAACTCAGTGTATAATATACTATAATCATGCCTCACTATGCAGCATAACCTCTCACAAAGTCCTTGCCCTCTTCCTGTTTTTTTTGTTTGTTTTCAGAGCTTCTGGGGAACGGTGGGGAGGCTGGAGTCCCTGACCTGGTGTCTGTCCTAAGGAGCATTGCCACAGAGAACATCCCCAACCTTCCACCTGGTGGAGGCCTGGCCAGCAAGTAAATATACATTAGCTGCATCTTATGCACACGCCGATCAATATTATCAGACCTGGCCATCCACCTAGATTATTTATTTATTACTTAGAAATGTATCGCCAGGATGTTGTATCCTATTGAATATAGTGGTTAAAAGGTCATGCAGTAAATTCCAGGCTGGTTCCTTTAAGTCTGAACAACTTTATATGTGTAAAACATTTGTTAGTTATGAAGCGCTCTAACAAAGACAGAAGAGACAGGGACAGTATTCAGTAAACATTAAAGTAGGAGTGGAACTAATTGGGCTGTTACTATTATTATTTTCACTGTCAATTAATAAAAGTCGTTTCATTATCAGATCATCTGTCAGCTGCTTTCTCCAAGATTCATTACCAGAAAATGTTATGAAAGAAATGCTCCCCATTAGTTCCAGAGGCAGTGGTCATGCATTTAAACAGCTCGCCTTATTTGTCTGAAACTAGAAAATATTCAGTTTGATATCAGATGTGACAAAGAGAGCAGCAAAGTTTCTGCAGCCAGAGAATTCATGTCAATTTAATTAATCAGAATAGTTGGAATTAATTTTCTGTCTGACAACTAGTTGATTAAACTGAACAATCACAGAAGTTCTGCAGATAAATGAGATAAAAGAATGGATAAGTTACTATAATAATGTTCAGGAGATCTAAAATCGTGGAGTATAATAGGAGGTGTGTTTTTAAACTGACCTTTTAAAGACATAAGTGAAGTAACTGTTTGAATTTTTCAATTACTGGATTATTTATGACGCTGACGAGGACCAGATGTGTGTAAATGGACCATCACAAGCAACTGATTGACAAAAATAAGTCTCTTTTTACGCAAAAATTCTCCCAAACTTTCAAGTTTCGGCTTCTTAAAAGTCAGAATTTTTTGCTTTCTTGTCCTTAATCACATTAAACTGAATATATTTGCATTATGTCCGTATATAGGTTATTGGATTCTTCTTCTGTTATTGGATTATACAAGTCAATAATCTGCAAATTCACTGATAATGGAAAACCTGCTGTTGATATTAAGAAAAGCACGTTTCCACACATGCAGTTGCCTTTATTAGAATATGGGTAAGACATGCGGTTTAAAACTTAAAAACATGCATCAGAACACTTCGGAATAAAGAGATTCTCTTTTATGCATGAATGGCGAGTTCTCAGATATCGACCAAGTTGCTTTTTTAGTTCCATTAAACTCTCAATCAATACACATTTACTGGGAACCAGCAGAGGCCGTGTTCCGTCGGCGTTGGCTCGTCCTCTCCGAGCAGCGAGCTCAGTGTGCCGTCTGTGTGTTTTCGCAGGCGGAGTGTGATCGAGGCGGTGTACAACAAGCTGAACCCTCACAGAGAAGAGGAAGGGGTGAGTTGACCTCTCTGTGAAGCCTTCACCTCTTCCAGCCTTTACCCTCCCTCAACATGACCTCAGAAACACACACCAGCCCAGACAAGGACACTCTTGTGTGTGTGTGTGTGTGTGTGTGTGAGAAAACGAATGTGATTTAAGTGTGAAAGCGGGCAGAGGAAAGTCTAAACACAATAACCTTGGCAAGCTCAGCGGAACTCAGGTGACTGCGTTTCGTGGTGGGAAGCACCGATGCTCTTTGCGGTCTGTTTAAATTTGATATTTATCATTGAAACAGGATACACGGTAAGACCTCAGGCATGCTCAGCAAAGAGTGCACGTCCTTTAAAGTGCCGGTTTGTGGTGCTCGATGCTTCGCGAACCCGGTTTTTTATCACAGAAAGCCCGACAATTGGGAATCAATCAAACAAACGTGAGGTTGGATAGTTAGTTCGTGGTGATAAATATGTGCACAAGACGGTAAAAGACTTTAAAAGCTATTGATTTGTTGTAGCCGCACAGTGAAGAAGCTGTTTACTTATGTACAGGTTTAATAATAAACAACTGAAGTGTACAAAAATATATATATATCATTTTGCAGCTTTAGTGTTTAAAACTGCATCATTCGTCTGAGTTACTGACGTGAATCACTCACCCATGAGTTCTACGCAGGCACGTTGTCCAAACCTATTGAACCTATTTTAAACATATTTATTATGAAGCTTGCTTAGAAATAAATGCTCCACATATTCCGACACATAAAAGTTTATGATGCCACATGATAAAAATGTAAGCATAAAACCAGGATGTGCTCCAGTTTAGTTCCAGATGTTTAACATGGAACACAGAGTGACTATCAAGAGATGCATAAAAACATGATACGGTTATAGATCTTGTTTAGCTACAGCTATAATACCAACCGCTCCAGGCGGCCTTAAAAACACCTCGACTTTAATGTCACTTCTAGATCCAGGGCTCTGTTTCTACTGTAGGAAATCCTTCTGTACGTAAAGGAGGGAATTTCAGTAACGGGTGCATGTGCATGTACAGATCTCTTTATACTAATCAGGTCCTAAATAGCCTGCAGGGGTGAAGGTGGGCGTGAATGTATAAATGCACACGTGTTTTTCCTACATTAATGTCAGCGGAGTCTTGACTTGCAGGCTCTTTTCTCTGGGCTGTGTGGGTGCTGACCAACTCCCCTCCCTCTGTTTTCACCGCACAGTGAATATCACAAAGGGTTGTTGGTCACAGGGTCAGAGGTAGTAGCGTTTTTTTATTTTGGTGTTTTTTTTTTTTTGCATGGGCCTGTCCGACTGGTGCAAGAATCTCTCTGACATTGTCACGCTACTGTGTGCTAGATGTTTTTGTGCGACGATGTTCGATGTGTGTGTGTGTTGTGTGTTTGACCGTGGAGCGTGCCTGCAGAGTCTGACCCTGGCGTGTCACCTCAGGCCTGCGCGGGGGGAGAGGAGGAGGAGAGTGAGGAGGGAGGTGGCAGCACGGCGGCTCATCTGCTGGAGGCTCTGCGGCAGTTCCGCCTGCACTACCGGGGGCAGTACCGCACGGTGCTGGAGGAGTCCCTGGCTGCCTACCACCTGCGGGGGGAGAGTCCTGCCGAGGGAGCAGGGGAGAGCCGGAGGACCTCCAGCGACGGCGATGATGACGACGGCGACGGCCAGGAGCAGCCCGCCTCCCCTCCCTCTCCCCCCTCGCCCCCGCCCTCACCCGCCACTGCAGAGCCGGAGGCCAGCCGAGATGCGCCCGCCCCCAAGTCTGAAACCTCCTCTGACTGAGCACCTGCCCCGCATATCCACCCGCCCGCCCGCTCATCCATCCTACCCCCAGAGCTCTAGTCAGATGTGCTATGACCTCTCCTCCTCTGTCCCTCATCACGGAGCTTGAACCGGCGCATCGGCCATGTCCCGCTCCATCACGCTTATTCAGATATATCATGAGGAATTCAGAGGAAGCAACAATGGCCCTTCTGTCGGTTCAAGTTCTGTCTCCGAGACACAAAAACACCTTGAGGACTCTTTCTTTCCTTTTCTTTTTTGTTTTTTTGGTTCCTCCTGACCACCTTGGCTTGGATTCCCAAACTTGCTAGTCACTGTTACTAAACCTGACCACACGGACTGATGTTTACAACACAAATCATAAGAATTCATTAACACAGCTGAAGTGGCTGGTGAAGCCAAGGTGAACCTTGCATTCTATGGCCTACGTTTCCCACTATTTGCTTCTGGCTGAC